AGTGTGTGCTAACCTTTCATTTGTAATTCACTTTGGAGGAAAACGTCTTCTGAATTTATAATATTGATAGCAATTTCATTCAATCATTCATTTTCCTTTGCCCTATTCCTTTTATTCATCAAGGGTTGCCACACTGTAATGAACCGCCAACTTATCCAGCGTATGTTTTACACAGCGTATGTTCTTCCAGCTGCAACCCATTACAGGGAAACATCCATAGACTCTTATTCACACACATACACTATACGGCCAAATTAGTTCAGACTATAGCGCATGTTTTTGGACTGTGGGGAAAGCCGGAGCACCTGGAGAAAACCCATGACAACATGGGAAGATAATGCAAACTCCACACAGAAATGCCAACTGACCCAACAGGGGCTCGAAGTAGTGAACTTCTTGCTGTGAGGCGGTAGTGCTAACCACTGAGCTACCGTGTTGCCCATGATAGCAACTTCCATTTGTTAATGCATAATAGAAATATACTAATAATGCTAATTCATGATAGAAATGTGCCAAACATGTTAGAAACATGCTAGCATTGTGTATTTATGCTTTTCATTGTGCATTGTGAATTTATACTTCTGCACTGTAATAAATATGTTGCTTACCTACATTTTTAAGTTGAACCAATTTATAACCAGGTCATTTTCACTTGCATTAAATAAACTGATTTAAAACATCAACTTAAAATTTGTCAACCTTAAAAAATGAGTTGAAACCTGATTAACTTACTAAATTAAGTTATGTAAAACATAAGTTGTCATGACTTTTTAATCTCACTTTTTACAGTTTGCTAAAAATGTTAGAAACATGCATTTGTTTTGTTTTATATTTTACATACTTTTTTTAAATTTTAGGTGAAGTTTAAGTCATTTTTGTTTAAATATTTTTCTAATATTTTAGCAGCTTAAATACAGTTGAAGTTAGAATTATTAGCCGCCCCTGTTTATTCCCCCCCATTTTCTGTTTTACGGAGATAAGTTTTTTTCATCACATTTCTAATCATAATAGTTTTAATAACTCATTTCTAATTACTGATTTATTTTATCTTTGCCATGATGACAGTAAATAATATTTTATTAGATATTTTTCAAGACACTTTTATACAGCTTAAAGTGACATTTAAAGGTTTAACTAGGTTAATTATGTTAACTAGGCAGGTTAGAGTAATTAGGCAATTTATTGTATAACGATGGTTTGTTCTGTAGACATATATATATATATATATATATAGCTTAAAAGGGGCAAAATATTTTGACCTTAAAATGTTTTTAAAAAATTAAAAACTGATTTTATTCTAGACAAAATAAAACACAAAAGACTTTCTTCAGAAGAAATAATATTATCAGACATACTGTGAAAATTTCCTTGCTCTGTTAAACATCATTTTAGAAACATTTAAAAAAAGAAAAAAATCCAAGAGGGGCTAATACTCCTGACTTCAATAAAGTTAAAGAAAAATAAAATTAATATTTCTGTTGCAACTACAATGAGAATACATTCTTGCTGCCTTCAATCTTTTAGTTAAATCAACTGTTTTCAATCTTCAATCTTCAACTTCTTTTTAACTTACATCAATCAAACTGACTAAAACATTAAACTAAACGTTGTATAACATAAAAATAGTTAAAATAGGTATTAACATAAGTTAAATTTACAAAAACATTTGTTGTCATAACCTTTTATTAAATAGTAATCAGTGTGTAGCTGAAATAAAGGAACTTCATGTTTCTTTAAATATATTTATTTTTAGTTGCCATTTATAAACTGTAAAAAATCTGACAATAAATCAAGAAAACAAATTATTTTTACTTGCTTTAAGTTATTTTAATATGTTAATCAGGTTTCAAATAAATTGTATATTATTAAGTTATACAAAGTTTAATCAAATATTTATAGTCAGTTTAACTGACGTAAGAAACGTTAATTTCAGATGACTAGAAATGTTAATTTGATTGAACTAAAAAAATTGAAGGCAGCAGTTTTGCTACTTGAAGTGTACTTGCTTTTAGTTTCTTCATTTTTCCTGCACTGTAAAAAAAATCCTGGATGCCTTAATTAATTTGCCTTGATTAATTTTTAAGCTGAATCAAATTAATCTTATGAATTCATTGAACTTACATTATGTTAAACTGACTTTAAACAGCTAGAATAACTTATAAAATTAAGTCAGAACATTTTCTTCATTCATTTTCTTGTCGGCTTAGTCCCTTTATTAATCCGAGGTCGCCACAGCGGAATGAACCGCCAACTTATCCAGCAAGTTTTAACACAGCGGATGCCTTCCAGCTGCAACCCATCTCTGGGAAACATCCACACCCACATTTACACACACATGTTTTTGGACTGTGGGGGAAACTGGAGCACCTGGTGGAAACCCATGCAACGGCAGGAAGGCAGGAAGAACATGCAAACTCCACACAGAAACACCAACTGAGCCAAGGTTCGAACCAGCGACCCAGCGACCTTCTTGCTGTGAGGCAACAGCACTACCTGCTGCGCCACTGCCTTGCCTAAGTCAGAACATGATTAACTTTAATGAGTAACTTAATGAACTAAAAACATGCTGTCAGGACTAAGTGATTATATATATTTTTACAGTGTGGTGTTCATGAAAGACAGTTTTAATAAATATATAAAATATATGAGCATTAATTCCACATATATAAAAATGTTATGTAATATATTGCATAATGCCTTTCTTTATATTGATGTTTCTGTGGCACAGGATACATACAACATCCAGTCTCAAGATCCAAGCAGCTTCAGAAAGAGGAGGCACATTTCTGAAGAGCAATAATGCATATAAAAATAGAAAATGTGTTCAATTGCCTTTAGGCCCTGCAAGATGATTAAAAACCAGCTCCTACATTTGAGGGCATATTGCTGTCTTGCAGCAGCTGCGGTGAGTTGATAGCAAAGGAAAGCTTGGGGCTGAATGATGACAGCGATGCTCTGGTGTTTAGTCAGAACCTGATTATCTGTGAAGATCAAACCAGCTTTAAAACAAACTACAAAGCAACTGCAGAAACAATATGTGCTGAATTACATCCTCCCAAAACTCATTTAGCACATACTTCGCCTCTGTTTAGGGACCTTTGAATCAGCAGTGGCTAATACATGAATATAGAGGGAAATATCCAATCCAGGTCACACAATAAATAAGTCATTGTCTGCTGGTGTGTAAAAGCTTCCCTGTGTGAAATCATTGCATGTATAAATCAACCTAGTTTTTTACTTTGGAAAATAAATCTTCGGGAAAATGTAATCAATTATTTTTAGTAAGTATCAGTTACTGCACAGAAAAAAAAGTTAAATTTTTAACATTTTGAAAAAAAATACTCTTATACAAATATAATATTTTAATAATATTATATTACTTTTAGCATTTATTTTATTAAGTATGGAGTATTGGTTAAAGCTTGTTTAAATTATTTATTTATTTATTTATTGTAATTTATTGTTACTTCTGTAATTGTACCTAACATCTCATTCTGAAGCATTTATGTTAGGTATAATTACAGACATGATGTGTAAATTAATTTTTAATTAATTAATTAATTAAAATTCAACCATATGCTTTAAACAATACTTCATACTTCATTATAATAATTATATATATATATATATATATATATATATATATATATATATATATATATATATATATATATATATATATATATATATATATATATATATATATATATATATATATATATATGTGTGTGTGTGTGTGTGTGTGTGTGTGTGTGTGTGTGTGTGTGTGTGTGTGTGTGTGTGTGTGTGTGTATAATGTACTAACAACTTTTTCAATACCATATGACGGGTACATGATGTGAACCTGAAAATGTACGACATATTAATGTTGACCAGCAAAAAGGTCTGTGTTGCCATCTGCTGGTTAATAAATATATTACAAAGGTTTTCTGTCATAGTAAATACTACAATAACATACTGAATTTTAATATTAATTATGTTCCCTATATTTGCTAATAATTACTAATATCTGCAATAATACAATCAAAAAGAATGCTAACTTATAAGCTACTTAATAAATATACACTGCTAGTCAGAAGTTTGGAAAACTATTTTGTTAAAAAAGTCTCTTCTGCTCTGAAGCTTAATTTATTCATTCATTCATTTATTTTCTTAGTCGCTTTATTAATCCGGGGTCGCCACAGCAGAACGAACCGCCAACTTATCCAGCACATGTTTTACGCAGCGAAAATGCCCTTCCTGCCGCAACCCATCTCTGGGAATCAAGCTTAATTTATTTCATTATAATTATTTTATTACGAATTAAATTTGAATTTAAACAACTATTCTTTTACTATGTGAAAATACTTTAAATGTCATTTATATCTGTTCATTATAGTGCGTTTTTATCCTTCAAGTTTGTATGTTTTTGCTCTTTTGATTAATATTATAAATCTTTAAAATTAAACAATAGCTGTTTTCAACTATAAAATCAATCTGTAAAAGTTTGAATTGAGAACAGAAAATCGTCTAAAACAAATGCCCAAAATATGGCCCGCGAGCTAAAATTAGCCCATTGTAACGTTTGATGCAGCCCAGTGCATCACATTTGAGAATAGAATGAGTAGCTGTGATGGAGATGCTTGGGGTGAACATGTCTTTAACGGAGATCATCATTTCTAATTTGGCGTAAACTTTTTTGTTAGTTTGTTTGTTTGTTGTTTGTTTGTGAGCAATTCCAGGCAAAAACTAGAGTAAGTCTATTCTGATATAAATGAGATGTTTTTGTTTTTACTGAAATAAGTTCATTTTAAAATGTAAAATAAACGATGCTGTTTTAGTTAATATACACCAATGTTTTCTTCTTATTTTTAAATATTATTAAATAAATTAACTATATTTATTTACCTTTGGCCCACTAGCCTCAGTGAAGTTTGGTTTTTGACCCTTCATAAGAAAAAGTTTGGGCACCTTGGTCTAAATCTAAAATATTGCGCTCCAAAACAGCGGAACCAGCTTTCGCTTGCCCCGTGTTTTGTCGGATCCTTCCTCGGCGTGACACATCAAAATGGCGGAGCGGGAAGAAGCGGTGAGGGGATTCGTCGCTGTTACTGATGTTGATGAAGAGAGGGCCCGGTTCTTCCTCGAGTCCGCCGGCTGGGACCTGCAGGTCAGCAGCATACCGGACACTTTATCAATGAAGGATTGTGCTGTAAATCAAAAGCTCTGCGGGCGAGAATTCAGGAGACTTTAAGCCTGCACCGAGAGCCAGTCAGAGGTGTAACCGGCTAACAAAATGTGCAAGTCACTCCTGATTAAAATCATCAGGACTTTCTTAAACTGCTTTATCTAGTTGATCACAAATGCTGAAATTCACGCTTTGGGATTTGCCACTCAGTATTTCTCTAATGCTTAGATATTTAAACATTCCCGGAGTGTTTTACATAGAAATTAAGCTATAACTTAGCAGCTTTGGCCTTGTCGGTAAATACCCATGTTTACATTCGTGGTTTAATTTAGTCTCGCCCTGAAACATCCTAAAATGTGTTATTTCTTAGTCATTCATAATATTAGTCTGAAACATCTAATTAGTTAATGTATATAATGGATGTTTTTTCTGTTCTGTTTGCGTGTCAGTGTGTGAATGAAGTGACAGCTCTTTTTTTTTGGTCCGTTTTTAGCTTGCTCTTGCTAATTTCTTTGAAGATGGAGGAGAAGATGATATTGCCACTCTTCCTCAGCCAGAGTCTGGATCTGTCACTCGACCCACAGGACCCAGGTTACACAGCTATACCCATAAACTATTTGGACCTCGATGATATGCTGTAGGGTTCATGTCGTAAGAGTGAGCTGTGTTTAACGGTGTCTCATTTGATTTCAGCGAACACAGAGTGACATCCTTCAGAGATCTGATGCATGAGGATGATGATGACAGTGGTGATGAGGAAGGCCAGAGGTATCTTTTTTTTCACACTTAATGACAGCTAAAGTCATCGACCATGAACTCAACTTTCTAATGATCTTTGTCTGGGAAACAATAAGATTGACAATACTGATTTCACTAACAACTATTGATCCATGCAGTTAACAGTTACAGTATTTGTCACTGAACACTTATCTGAACATTATCTGTCTGTTTTGATCAATTAAAAAGTATTATGTGGTTTATTGTTGATACATCATATCATTTTGAACATCCATTTGAAGATGCCATGGATTGACAGTCTCTATATACCTCAGTGTAGTGTAAAAATAAGAGTTTAGTAAATGTTAACAACATACCATGCAATTCAAACACCATTGTTTCCTTGTTCTCATGTAAATATTGTGAGTTAAATCCCAGTCTAAAACAGGCCGATCAGAACAAAACACTGACTCTGGCGATCCACATGAGGTCATTAATATGTCAGACTGTTTGATTGGTTACAATGTTCCATGGTGAGATTACAACAGTGATAAATGTTTTTGTTACTTACAGATGGATAGACATAGATAGGAATAACACTCTTGTCGGACAAAACCAAGGCTTTAATCTGATTTTTTTGTTGTTGACCTGCTTGCATCATTTTTTAAAAGTGACTTGTATCTGATTGTGTACATTTACACTGCACATGGCAAAGGCGGAATGACCAGGAAAAAAAAGAGCGGGCGCTGACTGACAGCTGATAATAAAAGAGTGCCATTTTCTCCATTCCTGTATTTAATCTGTTTGCAGGGTTTATTTTTTTAAATACTTTTTGACAAGTTGTTTTACTATTGTTTATGACAAAAAAAATCTTGTTTGACCATCTTATTTTAATCTAGGCAGTTTTAAACCAGTAGGCATTTTAAGGTAATGTCCATGGCGTGATGTATGCAACAGTTTTATGTTAGTTTATATTGCGGCTGTTGTGCTCTCTCTCTCGCTAACATGCTTAAATAATTGTGCCACATGACAATATCACTTTTTAAGTCCTCGTGTATGAGATTTAAGGTTTGCAACTCTGCTGAAGTCTGTTTTAAATGAAAGTGTCAGGCTTGAAGTCATTCGCTATGGTTTTTAATGATGCGCGGCTTGCATTGACAGGTAAAAATCCAATCTAGTGTAAGCACTGCAGACATGAGGACACGGATACGATTCATATCATATACATATGAACAAGGCCTGAATCTGATTTAAGCAAATCGAAATACATGTGATTTTTTTTCCTGCTTACACAAAATTGGGCCATATCCAATCTGTGCCACATGGTAGAAGAAAAGTCGTAATTGAGTCACTTGAACTATGCAGTGTGAATGCAGCCAGTGTCTGATGCTTTTGTCAGTGTACTATAAATTGGCCTTTGTTGTTATTTTGGACTAATATTTTGGACTAATTGAATTTTGTTTTGTAAGTATTTAAATGTTTTACCCAAAAATATGGATGTTTTATTCAAAACACTGGATTATGTAACAGAATTAAAGCATATTTTAGGTTTTTCATTTTAAATTGCTGTTTTAACTTTTTGCTATCCATTTAAATGGTCCTATGGATTTTAAACACTGTGTTTTCTTAAATCGATTCTGAGCTTAATTTTTTACTTCAGATGGGGCTCTAGCGACGTTTTTAACCATATATACAAATCCTATTGAGGGAGAATGCTTTTGCATTCAGCCGAGTCATTTAAGTTGGCTTTTGTGTCACAAGATTAAACTAAACGCAGCTCACTGTGAACACTTGTAGTTTGCTTAAACGTCTGCTAAATGTTTGAATAATATGGCTTTTTACTGTGTCCTCTGCTGTTAAGAACTTATCTGTTCGACATCAGTAGTGCATTTTTGTCCTTTAATCGTGTATGTTTTTGCCTTTTTGTTTAATATTATAAAACGTTAAAATCAAACAATAACTGTTTTTAACTGTTAAATCGATTCGAAGAATCAGAAAATCACAAAAAATTGTCTAAAACAGAGATGCCCAAAGTTGGCCCATTGTAACCTTTGATTTGGCCCACCATGCCATCTGAGAAGGGAATGAGATGGATGGAGAGGGTTTGGGCGAATGTCTTAAAAAAGATCATCATTTCTAATTTTATTTTATTGCTGAGCTACAAAAAAGCAAACTGAAGTGAAATGTTTCAATTAAATGTTGTAAATAAGTCTTTTACCTCAGAATCGATGATCAAGAAAGAACAGTGATGCTTTTTGTAAATCTCAGAATTGATTTCTCTACAGCTGCTGTATGGCTAAGCTAAAATTAGAAATGTTGTTGTTTTTAAATAGACTTATTGTGTCACTTTACAAGACCCTTCTGTCACTGATTTTCTTAAAGAGGATGTTTTCCTAAAGTTACAATTGAATTTTAAAAGTCCAAAAAACGACTGCTGCTTGTTTTTTTTTCTCTCTTGTAATGTATTTTTAAACAAAGATCTCCTTTTTGTGGAGTAAAATCAGACTTCTCATCCTGCAGGTTTTTTGCCGGTGGCTCAGAACGCAGTGGCCAGCAGATTGTGGGTCCTCCCAAAAAGAAGAACTCAAATGAGCTGATTGAGGACTTGTTTAAAGGGGCTAAGGAGCATGGTGCAGTTCCTGTTGACAAAGCTGGCAAAGGACTTGGAGAATCCAGCAAGTCCAAGGTCCGTCCTCTGGATGAGCACTTCTGTAAATTAAATAATAGCATGCTTATCATGGTGTGCTCATGTCTAATGTGCTTTTGGTTTGATTTACTCATGTTTTCTCTAAATATGCTCATGTTATAGCCGTTTGGTGGTGGCGGTTATCGATTGGGTGCAGCACCAGAAGAGGAGTCGACTTATGTGGCAGGAGCCAGGAGACAGCCTGGAAGTTCACAAGATGTAAGTCTTAGGCCGAGGCTGCTTATGTCATTCACACATACATATACTCATACAGAGGCTACAATGATCTGTGCTGTGTCAGCAGGTGCATGTGGTGCTGAAGCTCTGGAAGACAGGCTTTAGTCTTGATGAAGGAGAGCTGAGGACCTACAGTGATCCTGAGAACGCTCTTTTCCTGGAGTCCATCCGCAGAGGGTGAGCAGCTCATGCACTGACATTTGGTTGTCAACAGGTTTTTTTTTATTATTACAAATGACTTGATTTGATTGTTAATTTTTTTTAAACAAATAACTAATAGCTTTCACCACACTACCCCAATTGATTGAATATGTAAACATTTCAGACATTTTATATTACAAGTTTTCTACAACATTGTTAAAACATGCAAATTAAGCATTGTTTATTCAAATCTGCACTAATTAGCAGAGATTTCTAGCACATACGTCTGAACATTGGATTACAGCTAATTTAATATTCTTGTTTCTTTTTTGACAAAAAAGGCTTTTACAAAGGGCATTTTAGGAATCTCTTTTTATCACTTCATAATTTGGACTATACTGCCAACAGCCTGAAAATATCTAAACTATTCAATTTGTCTAACTAAAATGTATATAATATAGTAATATTTAAAGCATAGCCCTCTGTAAAAACTTTCAGATTACAGATATGAATGTTTCTTAATGTTAGTTTTATAAGCATCTTTAATGAATTCTATTTAATTCTTCTTTAATTTAGCTTCATTCGTTTAGCTTGTGACCTATTAACCAATTTGTCTAAGTAGAATAGAAACAACACCACTTAAGCTCTTTCTTGTTGTCGATCTTAGGGAGATTCCTCTGGAATTGAGGCAGCGCTTCAGAGGTGGGCAGGTAAACCTAGACATGGAGGACCATCGAGATGAAGACTTCTCCAAACCCAGACTTGCTTTCAAAGCCTTTACTGGAGAGGGACAGAAACTCGGCAGGTTAGAAAAGTTTTTCAAAATGATACTTTTTTGGCTTACAAATCGAATCATCTGGCCTTATTTTTTGACATTGCTTGTAGCAGGGAATTGATCAGTAATTCACTGCTGTTGAAATACAGAATCTAAATAACATAAATGAACTACATTAACTTGTTGACTTCTCATTGTTGACTAATTGTGTGGATGAATTATCTACTATCCTCACTACCAGTTTGCATATGATATACAGTATACATTTTCCCAGGTGCAGTATGTGTTTTTCACCACAGGGGGGCATCAGATTAATGCCTGTTTACTTCAGACACTTATGTGGTTTGCTGCAGTGAGTTTATTGTTGGTAAATGAGGCTGGGTTAATGTTTATGGTTAGGGATAGAATCAAGTAAAACTTTTGTGCTTTTTTATAGGGCTACATAATTTGTTGTAAAAGTTTTATTATAAATCAATGTAGTAATGATATTAATAAAAATAATCATAATTTTATTATTTGTGCCAAAAATAATCACTGCTACAATATAACATTGTAAGATTATATAAAAAAATAATGTTGATATTCATCAGCAATTTAAAAGTACAACTATAAAGTTAAAATGCTTTTATTTTAAAATTATTTAAGGGTTATCCTTTATATTTTAATCATATTTTATAATTATACATAGTTAGTTATTTATCAAATATTACCTTTGATTAATTTTTTCTAAATATATTTGTGTTTTTTGATTGTTTTTAAAGAAATTGTAAATTAAATAAGGTTGTTGTTGTTTTATTTAAATACTGTTGGTCTTGTCATGTATATGGCCTTTGTCAGGATCAAATAAAAAACACTAATATTTTTGCATATCTTGATTTCTAGATTTTCTAGAATGAAACCATCCAGCTTTTATTTTAGCAGAAAACTGTAGTGGCATATGAAGATATGAAAATGAGGCCATAATAGGATTTTCATTTAGTTTTTGATTAATTGTGCATTCAAACTAAGTAGTTAATTATTATCAGATAATCTGTTGGAAATGTTGGCCATGGCCATGATCCTTATTGTCCTCCATGCTCTCTCAGTGCCACTCCAGAGCTGGTGTCTCTCCAGAGAAGCCCACAGGACCAGGCTGCCAGTGAAGCAGAGGCCAGTGCTTCCATCAGCGTGGACACCTCTCAACCCATCACCAGCATCCAGATCAGACTGGCTGACGGAGGACGGCTGGTGCAGAAGTTCAACCACACCCACAGGTACGAGTGCCATGAAAATGCTTTCAGCATAGCCCTGTGTGTGATCTTTTTTTAATCTGCAATAATATTGTAATTGTTGTTAGCTGACATTGTCACTTGCTTTGCAAAAATGACAAACAGACAAAAAAACATTTACTGTTGTGTGACCAACAAAAGCATTTTATAAATATATATTTAGTTTTCTTAGAATTTTTTTCGTATTGTAATACTTTATTAAAATTTATTTAGTTGTGCAATATTACACAAGTTGTTTTCTTGACTCTTAGCATGAGCAAAAACTCATGTGATATTAGTTTTACACTTTTAGTAAAAAAAACAGCTCAACAAACTAGAATTCTACATCATGTGATTTTCAATTTTAGACATTGAGTGAGCCGATGACTGAGTAATCTGTTCATAAAGAACAATTCTAGAATGGAAAAGCCATCATTTACTGACCGTCCACATGTTCTGATTTGAGTTTCTTCTGTTGAACACAAAAGAAGATATTCTGCAGAATGTTGGGGGTAAAAATAAGCCATTAACTTCTATAGTGTAGCAATCAATTTTTTTTGTCAACTTGTTTCAGAATCTGTTGCTTGTGTTCAGTAGTAGTATTCACATAAATGGTGAGTAATTGTTGGTTTTTGGGTGAACTAACCACTTAATTTTAAAATGAATAAGCCTTTTGACTCGTTTGACTGAACAATTCAGTAAATGTGTAATGAAAACTTTTTTTATTAGCTGAGATGTTTTTTTGGCTGAAAAAAAACAAGGCTGAAAATGAGCCATAATGAAAAAGTGTACCTCTCTATTTGCATGATCTGCACATATTTATGGGATCAAATTCCTGCCTAAAGTATTGCAGTCGTGGATACAAAATTATTGCGCGTAAATTTGGTAACGGACAATAACTCGTTTTAAGGTTTACCACGGTTTTGAGAAGTCAAGGTTTTAAAATCGTTAACATTTTCTGTTATACCGTTGCTGAAGTATTTGTAATGTTTTTTTATGTTTTTTTTTTAAGACTGTTTTATTGAAGGTTTTTTTTTTAGGGAAACAGTATCTCCAGGAGAAAAGGACCCTCCACATCAAAATCTAGTGATCAGCCCATGATTTAGGAAACATATGAACAAATCTCATATAAACCAACATCCAGCATGCTATAGACCTGAACAGTGCAGTGGCTTTACTTTATATCAGAAGACAAGAAAGATATCCAAGATACCTTTTCAGGTTGTAAAGAAATCTGTGGTTTTGTAACTAATGAAGACAGCAGAAGTCAATCAACTAGTGGTTGCTCAGTGTGACAGGCGGTGATGTGTTTGTTTCCAGGGCCCGGTTTTTCAAAAGGTTTAATCCGGATAAAATTGATCTGGATTTAGTAATCCTGTTTTTGCAATCCGTGATCACGTGATCCAGCTTACTTTTTGTGCCAGTTTTTCAAAGCAACATTGGATTGGGTCAATCTGATCCGGATAGGAACTTTTCAGGATCACTATATCTGGATTACCAGTGCTCAATCACAATGTAGATGGACAGATAGGCCTATGTAAAGAGCAACAAGTAGAACAAATGAAATTAAAACCTTTCGAATAAATAGTAGATCTCGTAAAATACTGCATGAACCAAAAATAATTTTATTTAATACATTTTTTAAGTTTTCATTACATTTTATGCATGAAATCAACACTAAATCCACCCTTCTGATGGGATCAGTTTAATCCAGTTTTTTTTGGATCAAAGTGATCCAAATCCTACAAAAAAGGTCTGAAAAACTCAAAGTAAAGGTTTGATCCGGATCAAAAACAAGACTAGATTACTTGATCTAATCCGATTAGGTAATCCGTTTTTTCTTTTGAAAAACCCATTTTCAAGATGTGATCCAATTTCTTATCCAAAATCCTAGTGGATTACTTTTGAAAAACCGGGCCCAGGAGTTTCAGGTATTAAATATAGTGTAACTTCATACACCTGATCGTGATTCCGGGGAATTCATATCAATATAAACATTTATACTGTTATATCAGACACCTGTCCATGATCACAGTGATTTCATATAAATACTATACTGTAATATCAGATACCCTGTATTTGCATGGGTTATATATAGTATAGGATTAACTTTATTTGTCCCCGAGGAAAATTTGTCTTGGGCAAAAAGGTGCTAAGCAGAAAATAACTGTTGCTCTAAGCCAGGGATCACCAATCTCGGTTCTGGAGGGCCGGGTTAGCTCCAACTTGCCTCAACACACCTGCTTGAGTGTTTTAAGTATACGTAGTAAGAGGTTGATTTGCTTGTTCAGGTGTGTTTGATTTGGTTAAAGCTAAAATCTGCAGGACACCCGCCCTCCATGAACAAGTATGGTGACCACTGCTCTAAGCAGACAATAAAATAAGTAAAACAAACAAACAAAAGAATTAAGAACATTCATTGTTTACAAAATAAGACAATATATAAATATGAAATGTATAAAGCACAGTACACAGTCAGATGCTAATGTACTACAGATGAACTGTTCTTGGTAGAGTTCAACAGTTTTATGGAGGTAGGAACAAACAAAAGCTTCGGTCTATTGCTTTTCCACATTGACATTTTTAATCTTTCTCCTGCTGGTAACAGCTGATATTCACTGAAAAGAAGATGTTTGGAATCAGCACTAATATTTATTGCTCTTCTCCTGAGCGCCTGTTCATATAGAGTCTATATATGGGCTTGTATGGTTTTATTTCTATGATTTTCACGGCTGTTTTTTTTTTTTTTTTTTTTCAAACCAGACTGTGATTCCATAGCGAATATAAACTATAAAAGTAGTTTTCTTGGACAAACTTTATGGTGGCTTAAGAAAACCTAGCCTAAAGGTTTGCAGATTTGCAGATAGGTAGACTGAGTTAAATAGTTACGTATAGAAATTAGTCTCAGATGAAGTTGTTGTTTCTATAGTATTACCGTATGTTGGCTTTCTCAAGCCCCCATAACAATATATAACTTCAGACACTGTCCGTGATCACAGGGGTTTCAGATAAATGTTATATACTGTAACTTCTGATACCTGTATGTCGGCTCAAAACATGCCAACAGGACATTTCCAGGTATACTTGTTTGTGCTGCTTGCAATAGCTCGTAAAATGATGCCCCTTGACATGGTCAAATACATTTTTCTGTCAATAAAATGTGGTTATTTTATTGCTTTTAAAAATACAAACAACTTAAGTTATTGAGTTACTTGTAAAATGTCTTGCACATTATATTTAAAATATAACTAATTATTACAAGCTCATCCTGAATTTTTGGGTTTGAGTGAATTTTGATTTGAGTGCATCATTATTATCTCATGGCCTAATACTGGCCTAAATCTAATCTGCACTCAACAACAAAAATGACAAACAAAAATCAAGATGTAATTCGTCAGTTTCACACTACCCAATGGCATGAAATTCATCCTCAAGACTGATTGGTTCCATCTTTCTCCATCTCAGGGTGTCTGATGTGCGTCAGTTTGTGGCTAGCGCTCGACCTGCGTTGGCCGCCACAGAGTTTGTTCTCATGACCACCTTCCCCAACAAGGAGCTGACGGACGAGAGCCTGACACTGAAGGAAGCAAATCTGCTGAACGCCGTCATCGTGCAGCGGCTAAAGTGACAGCGCCATCCGTCCACCGGCCTGCACTCTGGAGTTGGAGAAATCTGGACTGAAAGGACTTCTAATTACATTATATTGTTTTCTTTAGTGATCTGTTATTCCTCTGTGACAGTTTTGGGGATGGTGGATGTTTCAGGCTAAGAGAAGCGGAAGATGAAGGGGAAGCAATCGCACTGTGATATAGTTAAAGGGAAAAGAACCGAAGCGAAGATCTAACAAGTTTATGCTTTTAGAGTAACTGCTGAATATATATATATATATTCAGACTTGAATAAAGAGCTTTCAGAAGAGTTTTGACATCCGTTTACCTCGGTTGCTCCTGCTTTACCTCCTCCTGCTCAGTTTTATTCCTCATTCTGTGATTCATCTCTTCTCACACAAAAAGAAAAGCTTAAAGGAAGAAATGTTTGTGGTTAAAGGAAGTAGCCTTATATTCATTCCCCATACGGTGACCTCAAAGATCAACCTCAGCTGTCTATGATCAATCGTTTTTTTACAAAAGAGTTTTCTTTTATGAGTTCTGAGGCTATATTTTCATTTATTTTATTGTTATATTAACTTTGCTTGGTTATAAAATAAAATTAAATGATGAGATGGTTGGCTAAGAGCTGACTTCAGTTTCAAACGCAGCTGCTGGTGAACATAACAGCGGCTTTCCTGTATTCTATGCAGCAACTGATTATATTTCTGGACATACTGCGTGATTGTGAGCTGTGGTGAACATGATATTAAACCCCTTGTCTGGCATTGAAGAGCGCTTTCTTGTTGAGTGTTGGCATAACCAGGTGCTGATATCCTCTCAGGGGCTTTTCCCGCCCCTTTTACATTTCAGGAATCGGTTTGTTTTTGAAAGCTTTGTTTGTCGTAAGTTCATGCTCGACGGCGTGAGGGAAGCTATTAGTCGACAAACTGGAGTCATGAGTTTGTCATGCTCTCCCAAAGCCTGTGGAGTCGACCGTCGTGCAGTGTGTTTGCGAGGAATATTTTCTGATTTGCCGCCGTAATGACACTGAAAGCAGACATTAATGACTTGATCGAATTTATTTAGAAAAATACATCTTGAAGTTTAAGCGTATGGATACCACCATACAAGTATCCCTTCAGACTGTAATGAGATTTAGGTCGTATGGCCCCTTTTATTATTGAATTGGATATAACTCGGCTAATCAGATATAAGCCTATTAGTCATGCTTGCCCTTTAAGAGTTAACGAAGTAGTGCTGATCGTTTACGCTGCGTGCGTCGTGGCTATATTTTCAGCCGTGCGTATTTATATGTGGCTGAATACAGTCTAAATAAGCGAATGTCTCTGCCACGTTGAAGAGTATAATCGCTCAGTCGTGTATGTCAACAGCAAACATTCTTCGCGTGGCTTCTCCTTTTTTTCCTTCAGGACGTTCATTCCCTTTTGCGCAGATGGATGTACATGATGCCGCTGCACAGGAGCAAAGGCACACAGACCCAGGCCAGGAAAAAGCAGAAGCCGAAGTGTCCCGAACTCAACTCCTGCATCCCCTGAAGAATTTCTTTGTTGTGCAGAGTGTAAATGAGAACTGCGGTGAAATCGTTGAGGCCTGAGGGGGAGACAGAAATGGTCAGAAGGACACCATTTAAAAACACTGCAGATGTTTAACTTCTAAACAATACAACCAGTGTGTGTGTTCAATGTCTAGTGTGTTTTGGGACATAAATAATCCATCGGTTTACATGGCTTCAATAGAAGGAAGAAAAATCTTAAGCAGTTCAACATTAAGCATGGTTTTAGTAAAGTAAAAGTGCACAAAGGAACTTTTTTTTGCAATAAACTGCAATTTGTTTAGCCACAATTCCTCTACAAGATGCCATGCTTGAACTGATTAGTGTAGCAAAACATGGTTAATGTAGTTAAACCATTGATAATTTTCAAAATTGACTACTAATTGTGACTTTTCGGACTATAACAATGAAATGTTGATGCATAACAGGGTTTATTACCCTGTACAACAAGCTAATAACCTGCTTTTATTTTATTTTTCCAAAATATATTAAGTTTAGTTTGAACTACAGAACTAAATTCTTTAAAAAAATCAAAATAAAAAGTGAAAAGATAATTGGTTAAAATTTGAAAATAAAAATGCAAATAAATTACATAAAATATTCAAAAAACACTACATAATAGAAAAATAATAAAAACAATGTTCAGTGCATTTTGTATTAGCGTTTTACAGCTTTCCAGTGTTAACTGGTAAAATGTGTTAATTGTTGCTAAAATGCAAGACGTGAACAATACAAGAAGACACCAACAAGGGTTTCAAAGCTCAAACATCAAAAAATGTTGCATGTTCCACCTGGTTCAAAAAGTGTTGAAAGGGGGTCTGTATTTTATACAAATGTTGTAATTTTCCTTTAACAGAGTATGTGAGCTTCTCCAGCTAGTCATTTCTTTAATCCACTTCCACAGGATGGCCTTGAGTTTTTATTTTTTACAATTTAAAGCAATTATAGAAATTAATGATGAGTTAATGTGTGTGCTAATCAACTACAACATGAATCTCGTGTGAATAACAGCTATACTTTAATTACTTGTTAGAACATGATTGTTTGTTAATGTGTTAATTACCACATTATTGAATAGGACCTTCTACCAGAAATTTACATTTTCACTTGTAATAAATGTGACAGGGCCTGACCTAAGCTTGTCGTCCTCAAAAAAATAATACAAAAACAAGCATAAAATCATACAATTCAATGTTAGAACAATTTTTTTAAACAACAGCAAGTGTAAAATTTAAACGTAAAGAATAACATAAGTGTAAAAAATAAATTACATAATCAATAAATAAAATAATAACTTCAATATAACTAAGGGATTATTTAATCTACCCAACTGACCGCAATTTTCCTACTCAATTAACTTCAACTCCTTTGCAATTATAATTGTATATTGATATTTCTTACTATTAATATACTAGAGCGAGTCTATATATAAATTAAAATCAGTAATAGAAGCCTTTAAACAAAGTTTACAATTATTCAATCTACATTTATGAATATGAAATTGACCAAATACGCATGCTTGATCACTGTCAGCTTCTTCTTCATCAAATGATGTCGCTTCAGAGTCACAGCCTTAAACATGTAGACTATTGCACTCATTTAAAGTTAAATTTTATGCAAATTTGAGTGGACTAACAGAAAGATGGGGACAATTGTAAACTTATTTGCATTTTAGTATTTATTTGTAGAATTTATTTATAATTTCATGTTTTTAAGCAATCGTTGTGAACTTAAACTTGCTATTTCTCAAGTATTTTTTTTCTAAATAACAGTTTTTAGCATAACAAAATATTAAAGCTGTAAGTTTAATTATGCTGAGGACAAGGAGAATGACAGGGTTTGTACATTTGTAAAGTGTTTTTAATAAAGAACAAAAATCTGAGAACTAAATGAGTGACATGATACAGAACAACAATCAAGCCTTAGTCCATTTTAGAAATTTTCGGGATGAGGATGAAATACTTTTTATTCACTGTGTTTATGTTTTCATCTCAGGGACAGATAATGTACATTTCTGGTAGAATGTCCCATATGCTTAATTTAACCATCATGAGCTCCAGAGCTGTTAATGTATATTTATATCATGACTTTACTTAGAGGGGCACATCATCATTAACCCATTCTTAACCACTCATGAACTTCTTATGCATTTGCGTTTACACTGAATAACAAAGGAAAAGTGTTCTGTCAACACCAACATGAGCAGTTTAAACACAGGAGTTCATGAGTAGATAAGAATGAGTTAATGGTGATGTGCCCCTCCAAGTAAAGTCATGACATAATTATACAGCTCATGAGTTCATGTTAATCACATTTAACTTAAATGTAAATTCTAATTAATACATTAATTAACATCATGTACTAACAAGTAATCAAGGTCGCTGTTATTCACACATGAGACTCATGTTGTAGTTAAAGTAATTCATGATTAGCGCATGCCATAACTCTTTATTAATTCATAATAAAGTAATGTTTAGCTTAGATATTAATACATCATTATTCATGTACTGTTATTGTAAAGTGTTACCTTTTAAAGAGCTCATATTATGGGTTTTTTGAAAATGACCTTCCATGTAGTGTGTAACAGCTCACATGAAGTGAAATATCCAGCTAAGGCTTAAATCTGTAAGTTTAGTGTTTAAAACTGATGATTCATCTATAAAAGAGTCGATTATAGTGCTTCAAACAAGTCGTCTTAATAAGGAGTCATAGTTGTTTCGCGTGACGCGGCTACGAAACACAAGCCCCGCCCAATAGTTGCGGGCGCAAACACGGGAAATTTGAAACTTGTGGCCCCGCCCACTAACACAGAAATAAAGGCACACACACATACTCTACCCAAAGAAGAAACTGTGTGAAGAGGGTCCGTGTATCATCCGTTCATTTGATTATTCCTTTTATTACGGAAAACGAAACATCAGAAAAACGATGAATATTTCGTTTTTCTGTTTATTCTGTTGGCAGAAAAAACGGAAACTCATCTGTTATTCTGCTTATTAACTTAAAACGAAATATTAAAACAAACACAAAACCAAAACGAAATAATGAGTCAAAAAATGGTCTGTGTACGGTTCGTGTACATTTTGTTCATTTGTTTTCCATTTTCAAACAGAATAAAGGAAATGGAGAAAACGCCCGTTTTTACGTTTTTCTTTTGCTCACGAGAAAACGAAAAAACGAGATTTTGGCTGGATTTTCTTTTTTGGTTTAGGGTAGGAAAACGGATAAACGACTTTAAAATTCATTTTACACATGTAGGCGGTGCTGAAACGCCCACTTTCCTCTAATTGGTCAACCAAATCTGCGCTCGTGACGTCACCCTCAAAATAAAAGCCTTACACGCAGGCTTTTAATTAATATTATTTAATTATATATATAAACAAAGTTTACATATTCTATCATTTGAACCACACACAGTTAGCAGGCTTACATTCATTGCGTAAGTATAAATTAAATAAAAACGTAAATCAGCAGTATTCTTAGACATTTGTCATTAAAATAAGGTCATAGTTCACTGCCAAGCTTCTTGCTGCTGTGCACCTGATGCTGAGCAAAGAAAGCCATATCCGAGCAGCACCTAGTTTACATGATTGTTTCAGAGCTATTGTAGGCCTAAATAATAGCCTACTCTGTATAAAATAATAATTTATTATTATTATTATTATTATTATTATTATTAGGCCTATTATTATTAGTATTGTTATTATTATTATTTACTTAGTTATTCAATGGTTGTAAGAACACATTGGACCCTGCATGGGGCGATAATAAATGGTACCATTTGTTTCTATTGGATTTTCTCCTATTTTAATTTAATATGCCTTTAGCCTATTGTAAATATTTATTTGATAATTATTACTTTTTTATTGCAAGGTCAAAGTAGTCCTGTCTTATTATTATTATTTTTTGTTATTATTTTGTCGTTGTTGTTGTTATTATTATTGTAGCAGGGACATAGCCACAGGTGTGGCAGAGTGTGCTGGTGCCACCCAAAGTGGCATCTTGCACCTGAAAATAGATGCCTTCGCGCTCAAGCGGGCGCAAAAAAAACTTGCACAGGCAAAAGTAATGATGAATGTGTTGAAGGAAAAAAAAAACATTCTAATTATTTGTTAATAAAATAGTGCAACATTATTCTCAGTCAGTGTAGGCTGAAAAAATTAAGATCGCCAGCATTTCAAGGGTGGTTTTATTTTTAGTTCATTGCTGTGACGCGCTATATTTCACTAAGGCTGCATGAGACTGCGCATCTTGCTTATTTTCTCTATTTTACATACAGAACATATCATACAGTCCAGGTTCTACCGTTCTAGTGAGTGTGGGGCATTGCTTTACGGTGGTAAAGTGGATTATTTCTTGGCAAATTCATAATGATTCACTTTGTTTAGTAATAAATTTCATAGTTATAAAATAACTACATTTCAAGAATATGTTAACACTTTCAACTATTTAGGATTATTTATTGCATCAAAAGTAATTTCAAAGTAACATTAAATGTACGTATAAACTGCTTAATTTGTGTGTGTGTAAACACCTAAGATGCAAAAAGCTTATTTAGACCAGAATAGGCCTACTAAATGCAACGGTCAATGTATGTAAACTTATGACCTAAAATGTCTTAAATGACTAAATTTAAGTCTTTTTAAGTTTTTAAATAATTTAAGTTTAACATTTAAAGTTTAAACTTCAAATTAACAGAGTATGGCAAATAAATTGTTTATTAAATGGAGGTCAGGTGTCTATCTTAATTATAATTATTAAATATTATGAAACTACAGTGGTGTATTGGAGAGTACGCACCTTTTAATTAATTAATTTTAAATAAGTGGTTTATCCTAAATAAAATGCAATGGGATCGGTGTGCAATGAATAGTTTGAAAACGCCTGGTTCAGACTAGACAAGCTAGCTGTCTGTGCGCTGCGCTAATAACTTGGCATTTGCTCTTTTCGGTGCTGCCAGATGCATTTATAGTGCATAAAAAATAAAAAAGGTAATTCGGTAAAGCGCGCGATGCGCGCAGAAATAAGCGCACTATAAGCATATGTCGAATTAAGTTCTCTTTTTCTTTAATCAAGACTTTTCCATTCGAGGAATTACAGTTATTAATAGCTTAGTCCTTATAAACGATCAGTTTATAAAATACAAAATTTACGGATCAAGCCTAATGAAGAATAAGAAGAATATGCAACGCATTATGATCCTTGAATGATCAGAGCGCATTTATATAAACTATATATTTTATATAATCCATAAATATTAAAAAACATTATACATTTAAAGTAATGGAACATTATATGTTATAAAATCTAAACTATTATTTAGGCTACAGTACAGGCTGTTCAGCGCGTGCGTCAAAGAAAAGACTTGACACAATCTCTATAACAACTTGTTGTTTTATTTACAATATCTAAAGGGATATAAAACATCTAACATGCATCTCCATTCTCAACGAGTTTCTGTGTTCTGCATCCTTCACAGACCGAGGTCTCATTCCGAGGTAATCTGTAAATATTCTCATTTGGTTCTGGCACATTCTTGATTAAAAGTGAAACTGACCGGTGCAACGGATGATTTGTCATCTAGAGTGACTACAGTTATAATACAGGTTATGGAACTATTTCACTTTAATTTCATATTATTATTTTATTAAACAAACAAACCAGTTTTTGTTTTGGCTCTGCATGCAGCGTATTGGATCTTTGAAGCATTGCACTTCAAATGTTATTCCTTTTTTTTTGTTGTATTTTTAATATTTTTAATTATACAACACAAAATTGGTTCTAAACAGATACATTTTCCTATAGGCTATGATGAAGTGTATATTTTTGTTCACACAGGTCCTATACAAAACTGTGTGGATGGATGATTTGTTTCTCCGTGAAAATCACTCATTTAATAAGCAAAACAGGCCAAAATGTTGTTTAGCTTGCGTCAAACTGGATGGACAATTTACAAACATATTGAATACAAAGGCTGGTTATTTTATGCAATGAGGGACAATAGGCCTATTACAAATTAAAGAAAATTATTTGCATATTAAAACGAAAATATATAATACAACAACAGATCCTACCTTGTAAGAAATGACTTTAGATAATGTAAATAAGCATCAAGTTTTTTTTTTGAGATTGTGTGTCTAATTCAGTAGTGTAGTGCGTTCGCGTGGGTTTTCTCCGGGTGCTCCGGTTTTCCCCACAGTAAAAAGACATGCGGTACAGGTGAATTGGGTAGGCTAAATTGTCCGTACTGTATAAGTGTGTGTGTATGTGTGGATGTTTCCCAGAGATGGGTTGTGGCTGGAAGGGCATCCGCTGCATAAAAACTTGCTAAATAAGTTGGCGGTTCATTCCGCTGTGGCGACCCCAGATTAATAAAGGGACTAAGCCGACAAGAAAATGAATGAATAATGTGCAATACTAATTTAAAATACGTGTCACTAACCTTATATGTGAAATAGCAGGGCCGCTGTAGCACTTTCTCAAGAAGAGCAAATGTCAAATTATTAGCGCAACGCACATGTAGCGAGCTCATCTGTTTGTCGGAACTACTAGACACAATTTTTTTATCAACTATAATGTGTTTAATTAGTTAATTTGAAATTTATTTCATTATTCCAGCAATACTTGTTGAGTGAAAGAATGCGCTAGAAATATGCATTGCGGCTCCCTTTATTGTACAGGCTTATTGCACTTAAACTTTTTTAGGTTCGGCTCTCGAATTAGTAAGGTTATGAGTAAATGTTATTTAAAATATTTAAAGCCTGCCATCTAGCCTACAATAACAGCAAATTTAATAATAAAAAAATAATAATAAGACAGGCCTACTTTGGCGTTGCAATAAAATAGTATTAATTATCAAATAAATAATTACAATATATAATTAAAATAGGAAGAAATAAATGAAAACAAATGGTACCCTTTGTTTTTATAGCAGGGCCCAAAGTGTTCTTATTCTGGTAACAACTATTAAAAAGAAAGAAAAAAAACACACCAAACAATAAAAACACTAGTAACTGATAATAATAATAATAATAATAATAATAATAATAATAATAATAATAATAATAATAATAATAATAATTATTATTATTATTATTATTATTATTATTATTATTATTATTATTATTATAAAGCCCTTGCTCTGAAACAATCATGCAAACCAGGTGCTCCTCGGAAATGGCTATCTTTGCTCTGCATCAGGTGCACAGCAGCAAGAAGATTGGCAGTGAACTATGACCTTATTTTAATGACAAATGTCTAAGAATACTGCTGATTTATGTTTTTATTTAATTTATACATACGCAATGAATGTAAGCCTGCTAACTGTGTGTGGTTCAAATGATAGAATATGTAAACTTTGTGTATATATATAATTAAATAATATTAATTAAAAGCCTGCGTGTAAGGCTTTTATTTTGAGGGTGACGTCACGAGCGCAGATTTGGTTGACCAATTAGAGGAAAGTGGGCGTTTCAGCACCGCCTACATGTGTAAAATGAATTTTAAAGTCGTTTATCCGTTTTCCTACCCTAAACCAAAAAACGAAAATCCAGCCAAAATCTCGTTTTTTCGTTTTCTCGTGAGCAAAAGAAAAACGTAAAAACGGGCGTTTTCTCCATTTCCTTTATTCTGTTTGAAAATGGAAAACAAATGAACAAAATGTACGCGGACCGTACACATACCATTTTTTGACTCATTATTTCGTTTTGGTTTTGTGTTTGTTTTAATATTTAGTTTTAAGTTAATAAGCAGAATAACAGATGAGTTTCCGTTTTTTCTGCCAACAGAATAAACAGAAAAACGAAATATTCATCGTTTTTCTGATGTTTCGTTTTCCGTAATAAAAGGAATAATCAAATGAACGGATGATACACGGACCGAAGAGTCAGTGGTTGAGGTTTATTTTTGCAAAAATACATCAGCATTATAGCCCAGCCTTGTGCAGTGCTTCTAGAAACTACATGCTTACAAAGAAGACTTCATCGGCTGTTTGTTAAAAGAAGGATCAGAAAAGATTACTGTCAGAACATGGATCAGTGCATCATGGATCAGTTTCTTCCTCCATTTCACAAGTTTAAGTACGTGCGATTAAAACTGTTGCCTCGTTTACTCTAGCTTGCAAATTATGTATTTAATTGTTTTGTTACTTGTAACCGTGTACTGTATCAGGTTAACTCTTTATATTTTCATATCGCGTGTAAAGCCACGTTGAAAACATGATGCATGCTGTTTTGTTTACGGATTTAACGTTAAATGTGTTTGTGAGCTGGCGATCCACTGCCGTTTGTCGTTGCTATGGTTATCGTAAGCTGATATAACTGAGGACGTGGGTGATGAGAGAGGTGTCGCGGACACCGCCCTCTCTATTCTGCCCCCCTAGGCATTGATATAACTGAGGACGCGGGTGGTAAGGGAGGTGTCACGGACATAACTGAGGATATGGGTGGTGAGGGAGGTGTCGCACATGCCGCCCTCTGTATTCTGCCACTCTAAGCAACTGCCTACGTTGCCTCTATGGACGCGCCGGCCCTGAGCGTGTATGCACTGTGACTACTTCTATATTGCTGATTAGCTGCTGGGCATTTCACTCTGTCTCGCACTGAAGGCTGTCAATGTCGACCAATTGCAGCAGGCTTATTAGTTTTGCGCTAAGGAGGAGTTTTGGAACCAATGAATCGCTGAACAATTCATATGGGAGTCGCTGGGATAATTAGGTAAAAATAAATGCAGATTATAAGACCATGAAAGTGTTTTTTGACCTTGCATGCATATTAGACTATTGTTGGAGACCCTTAAACCAAAATTTGACCCTATTTCATGTAAAATAGGGGCTTTTAAATAGAAAAAGCTTCTTTAGATCATTAAAAATTTCTTAATAGAAAAAATGGTTATTTGAAGAACTGTTCACTGAATAGTTCTTTAAGGAACCATAATGATTCTTCTATGGTAGCACACAACATACTGTATATACCAGTAACTTTCCACACAACATAGGCCAGCTAGGATGCCACAAGCTCACGATTTCTTTACCATCTATTTACCAATTTACAATGTGGTAAATACAAACCAACCAAGAATGTTGTATACAGTTGTCAATATTTGAAGTGGATCAGAAAGATTTTCAGAATTGTCCCAAGACAAGATTGGATCTTTGATAAAGAGTTTGGGTCCATTTCAAGACGTAGACTTGTTTGTGATGTAGGACTGTATGATTACCATCAAATCACACTTTTTTGCTGTGTTCTGATTAACAGAATGTGCTACTGTGTAATGAAAATTCAGTGGCAAAAGTTAAATTTACCCCAAAGTAAAATGAGTTGCGGTTCTTTTAAGAGTTAAAACGCTGTTAGAAAAAAATTCTGGTTTTGAACAAAAGCTGGTTCTTGCTGGTCATTTACTGGTCAAAACCAGAAAAAAACAGCAATGGTTTATGAGCTACTATAACTAATCATATGCTGATTTTCTCAATAGTGAAGACGGGCTAGACGCTACACAATACGTTGAGAACGAATGTGTGAAAGCCCGAAAACGATTTCCAGAAGTTTTCCTTCGACTTCATAGTGCTGAATTGTGAGTTTTGCTTATCTTGGCTTAGCATTAGCCGAAACCTTGATTAATGAATGAAAATTAAATGGAAGCATTTACCGGCAAAAGCCTGGCAGACGCCGGTGAGGTAAAAGAGTCCTCCTTTGGACATAGTGAAGAGCTGTCCCAGGAAAATCAGGAATGAAATGGAGGAGAACACAACCGACAGCACCATCAGAACCTGGACTGCTTGAAGCCACTCTTGTGGAAACAAAACATCAAGACTTTTGTGCTCAACTCTGACCATGACAGATGATGCTTTTAATGTTTTAAACTTGTATTTTAAAAAAAATTTTTATTGTATTTTTTTTTTTTTACCCGTCTCTTCTGAAGTGGCACAGAACCAACTCTCAGTTTCGTTGTCAAACTGGCAGTTGTACCACAGGTCTGAGCTCTCCTTGTTGTCCCAAACCCACCAGGACTAAATCACATAGAAGATTAAATGTGCAGCAGTGAGTTTAGATCTTTACACACCATTCTCTATTGAATTATCACACTTTTAGGAGGGACTGTTTGATGAAAAGGGTTTGCCATACTCACCTTCTCCATGGTGGCGATAAAGAGAACCGCCAGAGTGCTAAGGTGCAGCAGGGTGACAAAAATCAGAAGAGACGCCATGCTGAAGAACTGAACCTGTCAACAATTCACACTTACTCATCTTGTCTCTGCATTTTTTTGTTGTGATTCAAGACACTTTAATAATGTTTAAAACTTAACATATAAGCAGTGTTGGGTAAAGTTACTTCTAATATATTACAATTTTAACCCAGCAGGCACAAGATGTCAACATGATGTCAGATTGACATTGTACTCCAATGTCGTGGGTTTGTTGCATTTTTTTGGAAATAAAAATCAGGTTGATGTCAGAACTTAAAGTCTGGCAGACATCAGTGTCCAATGTCTAACCTAAAATCAACCAAATATCAACGTTCAATGATGCTACAGGTATGCTATCAGACGTTTGATTTTGGTTGCTATACCTGATAAATGTCAGTATTTGATGTCAATATGACGTTGGTTTAAGATGTTGGCTCGACGTTGGATTTTAGATCACTTTCCAACACAATCAACCAAATATCAACGTCATTTGACATCAAAATAACATTGCCCTTGGACGCTGGCGAGACATTGAATTTTGGTCTCCTGACGTCACAATTTAAATCTAACCCAATATTAATGTTTTATTATATCTGTTTTTTTATGATGTTGCCTGCTGGAAAGTCACTGTCAAAACAAGTAACTAAGTGTGTTACTTTTAAAGCAAAGTAATGTGAAAGCATGTTATGTGATAACATTTTTGTGTTATTTTTATTTTTTAGACAAAAAAAAGAAAACAAAAATTTATATATATATCAGGATCAGAAATTTAAAAATCTTTTTTAAAGTTGATTTATAAGTATTCATCAGGTATTTTATAATGTGCAGATTGTATTCATGTTGATTTTATGTAATTAAAAAATGCATTTGCCCATTTTTTACAAACGTTAAGACTGAATGTACCTGGAAATGTTAAATGGTGTAACTGCAAAAAATTGTGAAATATTAAATAATTTACTCCTCCTAGATGATATGCAGGTGTACACATCAAAATAAATACTTTATTTTAAAATACCACAATAACATTTATTTTATTTGTGCAATTTCTAAATGTAAAATTTAGAGATAAAAAAGTTTTTGCAATATTTGGCCGAAAACATGCTAAAACACATATGATTTCTATATAATCTGTGACAAATGATGTAAGAATTGTTAAAAACTATTTTATTGCACTAAACTAGGTGATTTAATTTTTATTTCACATTATTTCCATGTATATAATTATATTTTTATGTAAAATAATGGTCACACCAATTGACACAAACCAGTTACACCACCTGACAGTGTTGCTTCAACAGCCAAAGATGACTGTTTGTTGAAGAAATTGACAATTAAAATCAATTAAAATTAAGAATGATAGTCAACAATTTCAGCTGAAGTGATTTTAATTTTTTTAAATGCTGGCCAAAATGTCTGACAACAAAAAATCATCGTGATGAACAGTGTACTCATGTCTAATATGTAATGACAGTTAAGGAACAATATCTGAGGGGGGGTGGGACTGTCATTGACAAATGTGTTCAGAACCATGATACCAAGATGCTGAACTTTAATACATAAAGTAATAATATCCTTTACATTAAATGTGTGGCCCTCATCAATAGAATGATAAAAAACTAAAGAAACATGTTTAGCTTTTAACACCTTTTCCATCACCCTGTTTCTTTTCAGTTGTTTAAAGTAAAATATAAATAAGCCAAACACTGTATGTAAAACACTAGTGCGTAAAAACTGCTGCTCTCTCGTTGTTGCCTTGGTGCTGGGATTAAAGGCCAATTTTGCAAACATACACGACTGACCGACAACAAAACATGGAAAATTTCATGAGTGTCCTCCTAACTTATCCACAGCCTATTTATTTTATACAGTTGAAATCAGAATTATTAACCCCTTGAATTATTAGCTCCCCTGTTATTTTTTCTTATCAGGAGTTCTTCTCTGTGATCCAATTTCCTGTCTAACTGTCTTGTGCACAATAATAACAAAATGGCTCAATAAATGGTGGTTACACCATCTTGACATTTCAGAAATTTGAGGTGACAGACAAAATTCCCCAAATGAATTATAATCTTTGAAACAATTGTGCTATATTTACCTTTGTTTACTATTAAATATGTCTAATGTAAAATTATGCCAAACTAGCTGATACAATGTTTCATTGAGGCGTTCACATTTTTAAAATAAGATAAACTATTTGGTACCATTTTTTTTTGGTTACACCACACTGACATTCTTGCAATATTTCCCTAAAAAATATCTTAAAATGGATTAAAACCAAAAAAATTTGACTTGGTCCTCAAAATAGAGAATGTATGCAAGTAATTTACTTATTTATTTTAAAACTGTAACCTTCTTGAATTGATTTAAACGACATGGACACAAAAAGCGTCACGTCATTGACCCATATATATATATATATATATATATATATATATATATATATATATATATATATATATATATATTATTACTTATTAACATAATGCTGCATATGAGTTATATTTGTTTCCTATAAATAACCACTATAATTTTTTTAGATTGTAAAAAATGGTACATAATTTACATTTATTTTATTTATAATTTTTCCTGTTCTTCCTTTTATTATTAATTAAAATAACTTTATTTTGAGGAGTTTTTTCATTTGTATTGTGATACTTATTGCTTAAAACTAATATTGTACAAATTATTATACATTTTTTATATTTATATATTAAACACATTTTCACTTAAATGTTTAAAATGTATATTAACATTTCTACATTGTATAATATTTGTATTATATATTATACTTTTATATATTTATTATTATATATTATAAAATGATATAAAATCATGTACACTAACATTATATTTACCATTAATAAAATAAATTATAATGAAAACAAATTTATTATATAAAGTACTTTTATATAATAAATAATAAAATCCTATTGTTGTTTGATGCGTTATGCTAACTCAAGGGTTCAAGATACAACTGCATGATTGTACATTTCCCCTCAGGCTTTTTCGTAGGCACAAGAGCTTTAACAAAAAAAGCTTTTGCCAAAAAGGGCAGGAAGTAAAAATAAAAGTAAACCAGCTATGGCAGAAGTCGAGAGCTCAGAAATGAAGGCACTCTTTCAGACTCTTCTCAGTCTTGAGACACACTGCATACTTGTTGTGTGTTTTTTTCACAGGTCAAAGCTTGCCTTGGGAAAAGTCATATTCTCATAAGCAGTCTTCAATCATTCACACAAACAAAACTGTTATTTCATAGACGTCTGACTATGGGCAAATTATTAGAGGATGTTCATGCATCAATGAAGTTCTTTTGTTAAAAAAACAACAATTCATTGTCACAGTAAAGTGGATTATAGAGTACATGATATGAGGCTGTATTTTATTACAGTTTTATAAAGTTAAGAAACTGCTTATAAAGTTAACAAAATTCTTTAGATTGAATACATTAAGAATCATTCTGTATTCCCTTATCCTTTATTCTGTAAGAAATACTTCCACACTAGCTATAGCTTTAAGAAGATGTTCAAAACTCAAAAACTGCATTTTTAGATTCTGGATTATCCCAATGTCTTTGAAGTTTAGCATTTTTCTGTGTTGAAACCTTATTTTATTGCATGTTTGATTTATCTGTTGTTGTTGTTGTGCTTTGGGTTTTAGAAAAGTACAAAATAAAAAAGTAAATAAAATTATAAACAAAATGTATTATTATTATTATTATTATTATTTAGCCTTTTTTATTACAAAAGTTTTATAAAATGTTACTTGTGATAATGCAAACAAGGCCTCATTTTAATTAGACATAATCTCATTTTAATACATTACTAACACAAAAATCTGAACATTGGTTAAAGTCAGGGTTAAATTATATGCATATTTATGTTTATTTTACCACATATTAGTCATCTTTCTTTATCACTTTATTCAGAAAATACTGAACTGGAAATAAAGACAAAAAAAATGATATAATAATAATTCCTTACATTTATATAGTACTTTCTGAACACTCAAAGCGCTTTTACATATTGGAGGAAATCTCCTCATCCACCATAAAAATTTGAAAATTTATTGTAAAATAACATTATATATAACATATACATAACATATATATATTTATATACTCATAGAAAATTATGTATGAACATCTCCTTCTGTAAATGTCTTCACAATATAGATATGGGTAAAACTAAAGTTTGATGTATTTACAGTAAGTGCTGCTTAATTGAGATTTATGGCAGGAAAAAAAATTCCAAAATGTTAATTTTTTTAATTACAATGAATTCTGAATTAATTAATACAACACAGCTTTAAACATTATTTTGCTGCATTTTGAATGAAATCAATTTTCAGTCACCTCAACTCACTCCAGTCAAACTGACTAATAATCTTGAATTAAACTTTGTGTAACTTACAAAAATTGTCCAAACCGGTTTAATCGTTTAACATAGGTTAAACATAAAACATTTGTGGTCATATAAACAGCTATAAAAGCTGAACTCTTAAAAATGAATCTCTATTAAGAAAAGCCTAAAAGCCCCTTAAATTCCCAAAGATGGCAGCTCTCACTGCATTTCACCTTTTTATTTTACACAAAAACAGATCAAATAAAGGCAAAACTCACCAAGTGTGACCTAAATCCAGCAGATGCCAAGAGTGTATTGACTCTTTGAATGTGTTTTCAGGTTTGCAGCTTCCCTCCTCCCTTTTCAGCTCCAGTAAATTGAAGTATTTTGTGGACTTGATTCAGAACCACCCATTTCCTCGACTCAGGGCTGGTTTTTGTCGTCCTCCACTGTGTGTGTTCAGGAAAGGCATGAGCGCAGACACACGTCTCTCTTTCCTCGCCGTGCTTTATCATCGGAGAGGGTGTGTGTTGAGTCTGTATCGTCTCTTTGATCTCCTCTGATGATGCGATTGTATGTTTGGCCTCCATTCATCATCGCCCAAGAGATGAAGTCATGGTCATTTAACAGGCCCCAAAATGGGGGAAACTACAGGAACCTCCATGATTATTTGTCTGGTGTGTGCAGTAAATGCTGGTGGATCAGGAAAAAAACTATTATTTCTATATATTATCTATATATCTATGCTGTTTGCATAACAAGAGCATGCGCGTACTGTAAATTACAGTACAATATTTTCATCACTGACAATGGAAATATTTGTAATTGCATTTTTAAAAATTCTTTATTTTAAATTAAGTTACTTAATTATAGAAGTTATTTTATACAATATATACAAGTAGTATGTAGGCCTACATATAAATATTATCAACATAAATCATAAACATATTATACATATATCATTTTTAATATGGCAGCATGAAGGCTCAGTGGTAAGCACTGTCGCCTCACAGCAAGAAGGTCGCTGGTTCAAGCCTCAGCTGAACCAGTTGGCATTTCTGTGTGGAGTTTGGATGTTCTCCCCGTGTTGGTGTGGGTTTCCTCCGTGTGCTCCTTACATGTGCTATAGGTGAACTGGGTAAACAAAATTGGCCCTACTGTTTTTGTGTGGAAATAAGTGTTTATGGGTATTTCCCAATGCTGGGTACTGGGAAACACTAAGTATATGGATGCTCTTAGTATTCCCAATGCTTAGAGCATCCGCTGTGTAAAACATATGCTGATTAAAACTTATGCTGGAATAGTTGACGGTTCATTCCGCTGTGGCGACCTCTGATATAGAGACTAAGCTGAACAGAATAATATAATCGATCATACAAAAATAATAGTGTAGGACCTTCCAAAAGAGAAACAAATAAACAATTCTAAAATGTTTGAACATCATATTTGGTTTCCCAATAAAGCCTGTTATTTGTAGAGCTCCAGATATTCCGCAGGTTGTAGTTTTCTTCCAGTCCAGCAGGAAGCAGCAGCAGCTCCATCTCTCCCCCGCTGGTTTCGTGGAAACTTCTCAACGTCACGACGTCAGAGGAACAGCAATGGCGACAAGAGGCCCTGGGTTTTCTCGCACCCAAACAAGACGAGGAAAACCATGCAAAAACATCTTTCATAAAATTCGACAAGGCCAAGTCACCGGCGAGGGGTTAACTAGAGGATCACAGGTGAGATTATAAATGACATAAATGTCTAAATCGGCTCCAAAGCGTTTCTTTGACACTGTTTACATTTGAGGGCCCGAACAGCACTCCATTTAAAACACCTCTTAATCTGAAATACAGAACATTTCATCGAGTTCAAAGCGAATTATGATGTGTAACGGTAACGTTAGATGACTAATATGGTGTGGTTAGATTTAACTTTTTAATATGTGAAATTATCTTCCTGCTACTCAAAATATGTTGTTGACTGATTCTGGAGACAATTTAGGTAAACTTGGTTTAACTGTTACGCACATTCGTTCAGTGATAACTGTGACATGCTCCCTATATTGTATACCATGGTACTTTGAATAATGGATCTGAAATCACATACAAGTAACGTTATGTCTTCAAAGCAGCATTAACACTAACGTTATTTATTTGACTGTAAACAGTGTTTTACTTTGATATTCCCTGGCTGCTAAAATGATTTCACTATTAAAAATTTGTAAAGAATACTTTTCTGAAATTAAATTACTGAGAAAGTCTGAATGTGCGAATATAAAATAAATTTTACCTTAGTCTTTAGTCATGAAACAAAACGGGTCCAGTAACTGTAACTGCTATTACGGTAGCTTTAGAAGTATTTTACATTTAAATGTTATCAGTATTAATATAGACATTATATTTAACACAGCTATTCCAATGAATCATGTTCATCATCATATGAACTTGCACTCACAGGCCACTTCATTAGGTACACCTTACTAGTAACAGGTTGGACCCACTTTTGCCTTCAGAACTGCCTTAATGCTTCCTGGCATAGACTCAACAAGGTACTGGAAATATTCTTCAGAGATTTTAGTTCATATTGACATGATGGCATCACGCAGTTGCTGCAGAGTTTTCGGCTGCACATTTATGAGACGAATCTTCCCTTCCACCACATCTCAAAAGGGCTCTATTGGATTGAGATCTGGTGACTGTGGAAGCCATTTGAGTACAGTGAACTCATTGCCATGTTCAAGAAACCAGTCTGAGTTGCGCTTTGACATGCGCCCACAGAACGTCCGCTCACTGGATATTTTCGCTTTTTTGGACCATTCTCTGCAAACCCTAGAGATGGTTATGTGTGAAAATCCCAGTATATAAGCAGTTTCTGAAATACTCACACTAGCCTGTCTGGCACTTACAACCACGCCACGTTCAGAGTCACTTAAATCACCCTTCTTCCCCCATTGTGATGCTAGATTTAAACTGCAGCAGATCGTCTTGACTATGTCTATCTACATGCCTAAATGCATTGAGTTGCTGCCATGTGATTGGCTGATTAGAAATTTGTATTAACGAGCAGCTGGGCAGGTGTACCTAATAAAGTGGCCGGTGAGTGTATATCTCTTATTGTCGTTTTAATACATCTAAATCAGTGCATCTACACACAATAAAGGGTCCAGTCATTCAAATGCATAAAATTGATAATGTTATTTTTTAAATTCAATTCAATTTATCTCTATTTTTATAACGCTTTTACAATGTATATTGTGTCAAAGCAGCTTAACATAGAAGATTAGAGTAAATTGAAACAGTGTCAGTCCAGTTTTTAGAGTTGAAGTTTAGTTTAGTTCAGTGGGGTTTAATTTTAACTGCTTATAGTTCAAAAATGGAAGAGCAAATCCATCGATGGGCAGCTCCACAAGTTACGAACCATGCAAGCCAGTGGCGAGGAACAAACTTCACCAATTGATGAAAGTGAAAGAAAAAAACCTAGAGAGAATCCAGGCTCAGTTGGGCACAACCATTTCTCTTATGGCCAAACTTCTTGTGCAGAGCTGCAGTCTAAGCAACGGAGGCTGGAGAAAGCTGGACGTCCATCACGGAGAAGCTGCAGGTTTCTGGCTGATGTACAGCCTGGCCCTTCAGGATCAATGCAAGGATTCGTCTGTCACTGGGGTCTTACAGGAATCAGTCTCACGCTCTCCACTCCTCCATAACCACCACAGCAGCTGCTCAGGATACAGCCTGGTCCAATATTATGGAAACCAGAATAATAAAAACAGACTAACTAACAATTCTTTAGAGGATTTGGATTTGAAAAGCATTTGTGTTTTATGTGTATGCTAATGCAAAGAGATGTGTCTTTAATCTGGTTTTAAACTGACAGAGTGTGTCTGCTTCCCGAACTGTGCTAGGAAGGCTGTTCCAGAGTTTAAGTGACAGATATGAGAAAGATCTACCACCTACAGTTGAATTTAATATTCTGGGAATAATCAATTGTCCAGAATTAATTGAGCATCCTCCTGGATGTTAGGGGGTTGTAATACACCAGAAGCTCCCTCATATACGGGGGAGCTAAGCTGTTCAGGGCTTTGTAGGTAGTAAATTTTTTTAAATTATACAATATTTAATAGGGAGCCAAGCAGTGATGAAATAGAAAGAACAATGGTTTAACAAAAGTAATATTTAATGATGTCTCATATCAAGCTAAATCTGTTTTTCAAAGATAGCTGTATGTTTTAAAAGCTTTCAAATGTGTATCTTCTTTTTATGCCAGCATTTTCAGGCATTTATTAAGTGGTAATAAGTCAATCAAAATGAGGGGCAGATGTAACCCAGCCCAACTCTGCATAGTACATTATTGTCAGATATTTTCATGTATGTTTTATATATTTTTATAATATTTTAAATATATAATGGTAAAATGTGCCGTCACATTAGCTAAAATGCTACTATTTAAACTCCTTGTTTTGTGCGCCAAATGGTGGTTTTGAAACAACAATAGCAGACTTGATAACTGTTTGTTGTGGTTGTTTAATATAGTAACAATTGATGGATTCAGTTATTTTGACAGTACTGTTAATTGTACTATGAATTCAGGTCAAAAACACTGATCAGATTGCTGTTTGTATTTGTTCTGGGACTGCGTGGTGGCTCAGTGATTAGCACAGTTGCGTCACAGCAAGAAAGTCATTGTTTCGAGTCCCGGCTGGGCCAGTTGGCATTTCTGTGTGGAGTTTGCATGTTCTCACCGTGTTTGTGTGGATTTTTTCCAAGTGCTCCGGTTTCCCCTACAGTCCAAAGACATGAGCTAGCTATAGGTGAATTGTGTAAACAAAACTGGGCGTTGTGAATGTGAGAGAGTATGGGTGTTTCCCAGTACTGGAAGGGGCATCCGCTGATTAAAACATATGCTGTAATAGTTGGTGGTTCATTCCGCTGTTGCAACCTCTGATAAATGAGGGACTAAGCTAAAGGAAAATTTAATGAATGAATGTATTTGTTCAGTAAATGTTGCTGTTCAAATGTGAAATTGTAATCATCTGCTAATGCTAGCATGAGAATGTATTATGAAATGTTAAAAACATCTGTTAATGTCTGATTGTGTTGTTTGGTAATAAGTAATGGCTAAGAAAAAATTATATAATTTTATATAATATTATGAAAAGAAAAGATGGGAGTTTATATCAAAGCATAACTTAGTAGATTAGTACATGCGAGATGCATAAAAGTGTGTTTTTCGTTTCACTTTTGAAGAATAACTGAGGTTTGACCTTAGTTTATGAAGTAGTTTGTATTTTTAATGCTACGATAGTCCATGACAATACCAGAATTGCTAATGCAATGTATTTAATGTGTTCAATGCAGGTTCCTGTGGCTTTGTTGGAGGAGAGAGACAAAAGAGCTCAATGGCAGGGGATTCCAGTGTTACTAAGAAGGCTTCATAAGAGCAGCCATCCTAACAGCGATCTCTCCAAGATTCACAGCATAGTCATGGTATTCAGGACTTTCT